AAAAATTCTCTATGTGTCCTTACGGCTTTGTCACATAGCGACGCTACTGCGAATAAACATTCTCTATATGTCCTTACGGCTTTGTAACATAGCGACGCTACTGCGACTAAACAGTCTGTATACGTCCTTACTGATTTGTCACATAACGACGATATTGCGACTAAACATTCTGTATACGTCCTTACTGATTTGTCACATAACGACGCTATTGCGACTAAACATTCTCTATGCGTCCTTACGGCTTTGTCACATAGCGACGCTACTGTGACTAAACATTATATATGTGTCCTAACGGCTTTGTCACATAGCGACGCTACTGCGACTAAACATTATCTATGCGTCCTTACGGCTTTGTCACATAGCGACGCTACTGCGACTAAACATTCTCTATGTGTCCTTACTGATTTGTCACATAGCGACGCTACTGCGACTAAACACAGAGAAGCCACCGAGACAACAGTACAATTACTATGTTTGCACATGGCAAGCAATTCAATGTGCTCTCATATTTGTTGACGAAGTGCATACATTCATCGTAATCTGAACGTTAGCCATTTGAGTGTGTCCATTAAGGTGCCCTGGGTCGGCATTGATTTAGCATCAGATCTGTTTGTTTGGTAGGGTGTGGCACTTTGCGCATTACACTTCACTGGGAACAGTTAGAGGTATTCGGTTAGGGATATTCCGATGCTGTAGAGTAATTTATTTTATTGGTTTTTTTTTTCATTTACGAATGATTTTTACAGCTTTAACAAATAGGTACAAAATGTTAATAGAGAGATTTGATAAATAACTATCACCCATAGCTAAGTTATTGCACATTGTGTTGCCTGATACGTGATCTTTCAAATCGTTATTTACCTCATCAATCTTTGTCAGAAAACATGCCATATCAAATACTTGCAACCTAATACACTTGCATACACCATTATATCATCGAATGTATAATGCTTGACGTAACCTAAATTAGGAGAGACGTTCATCGTCTATCCAAATATAGCGCCTGCGTTCATGGTCCAGTGATTGCTGATACAAAAAAAAACTATGTTATCGCATTTTCGTCCGGTTTATTATATTTAAACATGGATATTAAGGGTGGTAGATAGTCTCAACAGACATATGTATTAATACTTTCATTAACTTTTCACTAACGTCATTTTCGTTTCTATATAAGTGTCTCAAAGATCCATTAATTTAAAGCTTAAATATCCGGTCATCACAACCAATGAAAACATTCGCTATGACCCACAGCAATGTCACGTAATTAAATTTTGATGTCGCAGCATCAGAAAATAAATGTTATTGCCTGGCCATAGGTTTGTGAGTCTATGGGTCCCCTCGTGTTGATTAGGAACATGCCTTCTGTAGCGTATCCAGATGACTTCCTTTGTTTGACGATTGGACAGCTTCCTCTTTCTGTCCATAATTTTTAGATTTATTGCAGTCACGTACAGAATTGTGTTGTGTGGCCTGATCTGTGAATACAGATATACTTAAGTGGTACTCAATATATGATTTTTCCACTTTCCAACCAAGCGTATTTCATTCGGTGGTCTTGCGTTTCGGTGTCTTTCTGGTATTCACCTTATCGGGCACCAAACCTCTTCCAGACTTCCAATATACGATGCGTCTCAGTCCTGAGTACCCAACGACATCCAAGCATTTTCATCAACTCGATGGCTTTGCTTCTGTTCCTGTTCTTCGTGCAGTTGTTCTGTGAACATTATTCCAATCTGTTGAGAAACGCACGTACTACGCCCAACGTCTCGTGAAAATAATAGTGAGAATTAAGGCTTAAGTGCTGATCGTTCGTATGTGTCTTTCTCCTATAGACCGATACGTTGATCGTTCGTATGTATCTTTCTCATATAGACCGATACGCTGATCGTTCGTATGTATCTTGCTCCTATAGACCGATACGCTGATCGTTCGTACGTATCTTTCTCCTATAGACCGATACGTTGATCGTTCGTATGTATCTTTCTCCTATAGACCGATACGTTGATCGTTCTGTCATGTTTCTTTCTTTTTCGAAGACGTGACATTACTTGGATTCGTACTCGATTTACATGGCGGACGTTATCGATGAAGTAGAAGATGTTAACCCTTCCGGAACACCTGGCCTTGTTCTTATACTTTTTCAAGGGTTTCTATGTAAGTCTTTCCGTCGTTCATAATTTGCCCTAGTTTTATCGATTTAGAGTCCGAATTATGGTTCTGTTGACATTTGGTATTCTCTTGTTGTTTTTTCTTTTATATTTTATTTATTATCTCAGCATCTCTTGTTCAGATTATTATAATTGAAAGCTTTATCTGTGGTTGTGTCCTATTGAGTGGTTTTCTACCGGACGGTTTAATTTTTCAAGCGGCGTTGTTTGAATGTGCACATCTATGTAAATACCGAATAAATTTGTCGCTTAAAATGTCATTTCTTTCATTGTTAGCACCTTAGTGAATATGCATTTGATTGGTCGTTTGTCTGATGGGGGTGAAGGAGTACAAACTGCGCTTGTCATTGTAACGTCACAATATCATATCACTGGTTGTGCTATATAAACCTATAGTAAAACCTCGATATAATGCCCCTCGCTGCATTTGCCACCTCGTTTACCGCCAACATATTATAATGTACATTTTTCTCCCTTTCGTAAGAATTCCTTTATACATTTACTTCAATTAATCGCCAAACCCTTTTATAACACCAGAATTGTTCTGGACAAGTGATGACAGTATAACGAGGTTTTACTGTACTTCACTCATGTTGTAAGTATTTAGTACATAAAGCGATTTATAAAAAATAAAAATAAAAGTTCTCCTTCAAATCAGGTTCACTTGCAGTTTCCGGGCTTTTGTTGATACTATGAGACCTAGCGAATCATGTCCATGTTTGGCATTGTCTTGAGGAGCAAACAAGAAATTGTTTTGAACGAGACAATGTCAATTGCTCAAGGCTTTCCTTGTCACAAAATCATAACATTTTACCATAAATATAAATATATATTTTAAATAGCAAAAGTAAACACAACATATACTACATTTGTATACATTAATACATATATATAAAAGAAACCTTTACACTATTCATTTAAAAGATGATTAAACGGACATATGGAACAACATATCTATTTAATGCTGTATTCCTGGCGGCTGATTATTTCATACCTAATTGCTTATGTTATAGCTACGCAGACATGTACTCGACCGACCAGAATACCGCAGGTCTGTTGGGAATTCCAACATTTCATTACCGTCGTTGCATGAATCAGGATAATTGTACTGACCGTATCAATATTTCATACACACCAATCGGTTATCCACACAACATACATAAATAGATTATGTAGTATACATATATCACATGAATAGATTACGTAGTATACATATATCACATAAATAGATTACGTAGTATACATATATCACATAAATAGATTACGTAGTATACATATACCACATGAATAGATTACGTAGTATACATATATCACATGAATAGATTACGTAGTATACATATATCACATAAATAGATTACGTAGTATACATATATCACATAAATGCCTTTACTGGATAATCGAACCGTTGCTTATCAGAACATTCTGTGCTCTGCTATTTAGGACATTACTGTATTTTGTGGAATATGCAAATACAGCTTTATGAAACCAGTAGCACCAGAAATAAGAAAGTATATGAACAATAGCCACACACATGCAACAAAAAAAGGTAGTTCTAACACACAGATGATAGAAATATACTTAACAACATAATAAAATATAGTTAATTCAAATTAAGATATAATGAAAGAAACACCAATAGCGTACCTGGTATTAATATGGTTAAATCAAATACAAATATTTTATAAATTTAGACAAATAAGTCCTTAAATGACCAAAGATGTTGATTGGACGTTTAACCCTATGCAACACATATTAGATATAGATCGATAAAAGACAACTGTTGTACAAGTATATCCCATGATAAAATAACGATACATTAAGTACACACATGTTACTGATATAAATACATCAAATACACGGTTGATTTGCCTACTTACCTACATTCCTACCTACCTACCTACCTACATTCCTACCTACCTACTTACCTACATTCCTACCTACCTACCTACCTACATTCCTACCTACCTACCTACCTACATTCATACATACATACCCTAAACATAAACTTGTATCCATTCATATTATGTATATTTTTTTTTGACTAATTCACAAATTTCTAAATGAATATGATAGATATGTATATATATTAATATGTAATAAAAAGTCATATAAATATTATCAAAATTGTATTAATACATTTTATGTACTTGATGATAACGTAAATGATTATGGATAAATAATATTAGTTGTCAAATGCTAAGAGCAACTTACTCGTTTTCCTGAAAGCAATACGAATACCAGATGATTGATTTGAAGTTCTTTGATTTTGGGCACTTTGATCACTGGTCATATACAATGCAAACTTAATTTGTCAATTTAAAGCCATAGTTCATGTTTTAATGATCCCGGCGTCATATCTGCATTAATTAAAACTGGTTGACATTGGAAAACAACATCCAACGGAAGTGTAGAAAATAACTTTTCAATAAATGATCAAAGATTGTCAGGATGCTCACATACTAAATTACATTTTTCTATTTGCATTTAAAATAGTTAATATCATGATAAAAATTTCAAAAAAAATGACATAAACAGAGAGTAAAAGATTAAATAAGTGAATTCAATTGGGTTAATAAATGAAAGAATTAATGGATCAATAAAATCAGTTAATGAAATGAATAAATGAAATGAATAATTGAAATGAATAAGTGACACGAATAAATGAAATGAATGATTAGTATTTTGAAATGATGAGTAATGTATTACTGGACCTCTAAAATGATAAGAAAAAGTACATAGGTGGAAAAGGGAAAATTGAAGAGAAACATAAAAAAAACCCGGTAAGTATACGAGAGAATAGAATAGGAAATGAGACACGAAAATGATGCGTACCTGCGTTGATTATGTAGGAGTTTTCCGGGGCCGCAGGCGTGCAGAGGCAAACCAGTAGGAGGGGTACAGTCAAATAAGTCATCCTTTTTGCTGTATACTCATAAAGTCAGTTAAATAAGGTTGCGGTCGTCCTGGTGACACCGGAAGTATGCTATTAACCTATCTTTCACTTTAAAATTCGATGTATATTTTGAACGAATGTGATCCTCCTGGAAGAGGATATTGGATGTCTGTCTTGTGCTCTGTGGTCCTCCTGGAGGGAGATACCGGAAGGGGCACCACAAATCTGTTTAAAATGATTGTGGGGTTCCTGGAGCTACCGAGTGTCTGTCTGCCACGTCCGTGTCCATTTTTGGAGATAATGACCGTGTTTGCTAGTCTGTCCAATTCTACGAGACCTAGTTATGACCAGGAGAGGAGGCTCCTAGGCAAGTTCGTGCATTAATGCCGACGTTTCTCGTGGGAGGGGACTCCTCTTTACAGCACATTATCCAACACAACTTTATCAGATATGTCCGGCATCAATAATGGATCGGACTTGCGTTGCCGCCTACTCACATGGGTATATATCAATGCTGTGCTTTTAGTAACGAGGGTGGTACGCGATATGAAGTTGACATGATAATAAGATGTCCAGTGAATGTGTTCCACCAAGTCTACTGAGCAGAGAAAAACACAGTAAATCGAGCGGAACTTGTAAATCCCAAAACAAGTTCAAGCAAGGTAAGATTTTATTATGCTTTCTTAAATTTAACCGTCCACGTTATTGATGTAGTACCATACAAGTGAATGGTCTTATGACATTGCTATGCCTTTCCTACTCAGATCAAAAAGCATATTTAGTAATTTCTAACAACTTGGACAGAATTCCAGCAACACCATCACACGCCATGGACTCAATGTAATATTTAATTGTGTAACGCTATGACATCATTGTTGCATCCCTATGTTAAACACCATGGAATCATTGTAGCATTGCTGTGTTAAACACCATGGAATCATTGTAGCATTGCTGTGTTAACACCGTGGAATCATTGTAGCATTGCTGTGTTAAACGACATGGAATCGGTTTAGCATTTCTGTGTAAAACACCAACGAATCACATATCATTGCTGTGTAAAACACCATGAAATCACATAGCATTGCTGGGTAAAACACCATGGAATCACATAGCATTTCTGTGTAAAACAACATGGAATCACATAGCATTGCTGTGTAAAACACCATGGAATCATTGTATCATTTCTGTGTTAACACCATGGAATCATTGTAGCATTGTTGTGTTAAACACCATGGAATCATTGTAGCATTTCTGTGTTAAACACATGAATCATTGTAGCATTTCTGTGTTAACACCATGGAATCATTGTAGCATTTCTGTGTTAACACCATGGAATCATTGTAGCATTGCTGTGTTAACACCGTGGAATCATTGTAGCATTGCTGTGTTAACACCGTGGAATCATTGTAGCATTGCTGTGTTAACACCGTGGAATCATTGTAGCATTGCTGTGTTAACACCGTGGAATCATTGTAGCATTGCTGTGTTAACACCGTGGAATCATTGTAGCATTGCTGTGTTAACACCGTGGAATCATTGTAGCATTGCTGTGTTAACACCGTGGAATCATTGTAGCATTGCTGTGTTAACACCGTGGAATCATTGTAGCATTGCTGTGTTAACACCGTGGAATCATTGTAGCATTGCTGTGTTAACACCGTGGAATCATTGTAGCATTGCTGTGTTAACACCGTGGAATCATTGTAGCATTGCTGTGTTAACACCGTGGAATCATTGTAGCATTGCTGTGTTAACACCATGGAATCATTGTAGCATTTCTGTGTTAACACCGTGGAATCATTGTAGCATTGCTGTGTTAAACACCATGGAATCATTGTAGCATTGCTGTGTTAACACCGTGGAATCATTGTAGCATTGTTGTGTTAAACACCATGGAATCATTGTAGCATTGCTGTGTTAAACACCATGCAATCATTGTAGCATTGTTGTGTTAAACACCGTGGAATCATTGTAGCATTGCTGTGTTAAACACCATGGAATCATTGTAGCATTGCTGTGTTAACACCGTGGAATCATTGTAGCATTGTTGTGTTAAACACCATGGAATCATTGTAGCATTGCTGTGTTAAACACCATGCAATCATTGTAGCATTGTTGTGTTAAACACCGTGGAATCATTGTAGCATTGTTGTGTTAAACACCATGGAATCATTGTAGCATTGCTGTGTTAAACACATGGAATCACATAGCATTTCTGTGTTAAACACATGGAATCACATAGCATTTCTGTGTCAAACACAATTGAATCCCATAGCATTGCTGTGTTAAACACATGGAATCACATAGCATTTCTGTGTCAAACACCATTGAATCCCATAGCATTGCTGTGTTAAACACATGGAATCACATAGCATTTCTGTGTTAAACACATGGAATCATTGTAGCATTTCTGTGTTAAACACAATGGAATCACATAGCATTGCTGTGTTAAACACATGGAATCACATAGCATTGCTGTGTTAAACACATGGAATCACATAGCATTTCTGTGTTAACACATGGAATCATTGTAGCATTTCTGTGTTAAACACATGGAATTACATAGCATTGCTGTGTTAAACACAATAGAGTCATTATAACATTGCTATGTTAAACGCATTGAATCATTGTAGCATTGCTGTGTTAAACACATGGAATCACATAGCATTGCTGTGTTAAACACATTGAATCACATAGCATTGCTGTGTTAAGCACAAGGAATCACATAGCATTGCTGTGTTAACACCATGGAATCATTGTAGCATTATTGTGTTAACACCATGGAATCACATAGCATTTCTGTGTTAAATACCATGAAATCATTGTAGCTTTGCTGATCAGTTGCCAATTCTGGTAAACGGTGTAGCATTATTCACACGATATATTTAATTGTTTATGGATAAAATGGAATATTCCTATATATTCACATTGCATAAAGCCTTATTTAACATAAAGGGAATTTACTTTAAATACGTTTGTCTCCATTGTAACCTGTCACTAAAATACCGTAAATATCATAACGTTAACACACACACATAACACAACAATGGCGTCGTTGTCTTAGTTTCCTTATTTTCCCTTTCTTACTTCATTTTATCGTCTGTGATATTAGAATTTGATTGATTTGGCTTATTTTTCTGTTTAATGCTACCAGAACTTGCCCTGATTCTATCACGTTTTTCTTATCGCGGTTCAGCTGTTTGGGTTGTTATGTAGAAGGTTGTAATCTATAATCAGTATGGCGAGACATTTTCCGAATTGTTTTTCCTATACAGAATATTTTTATAACAACGGCTTATTCAGGAGTAAAAAACACAACAGTCTATGCCGCTTTGCCGATTGTGAATGAAATATCCAACCAATTTACGTTTGTTGAAAAAACACACTAGAAATATAATTAACAGATGGTACATTAAAATAAACATTTTAACTAGTTAGACGTTGTTGGTTTTTTAAAAATATTATTGTTGAAGTCAGACGCTCGTTTTATCTACCGTAAAGAATGAGTATTGTTTGAAATGCAATCATAACTGAATGTCTGTATTTTCTTTGAAAACTCGGCGAACATAAAAAAGATAGTAAGAATTGTTAAAGTTGGATGATTCATTAACTATCGCAAAAACTATGAAAATAAGGGTTAAGTGGGTTAAAATGCAACCATCTTGAAAAGCAATTTTAAGTTTTTATAGACAAAGCTTATAGTGTATGTCTCGAAGTGCGAAGTTGAGATTATGTTCGGACACATTTTTCTATAAACCTTGCCGTATCGTGACTGGTGTCACAGCTAAATGCTGTGTTTATTTTTAACACAAACAGTAATTGAAAACGCATTCGAAAACGGCTGTTTCATTTGTCGATCAAAGAGTGAAAATGACCGTTCTTTTGAGCCTTAAGCCGCTTAAAGCAACACAATAAACCACAATGTGCCGAGTAAGTAAAGTTGGCTGTCAGAAAATATCGCGACATTTCGTCCAAAAAGCACTCCAATACTACTGACAGTTAGGAGGACAGGCAATATGTTCAACCACTCCTACCCTTAGTGGATCATAAAGATGACTCAGCTGGTGATCCCGCGATATCTTTTGACATCTGACTTTACACATTCGGTGTATTGTGGTTTAGTATGTTGTTTTCAGTGGTTTAGAGTAGAGACACCGGTCATTTGAACTCTTTACTTGGCAAAGGAAACAGACGTTTCCGAAAGCTCGCAAAAATAAGATTTTAATTTTTGTCGTATGCAAATCATGTGTCCTCAGATATCGAATTCAAATATTTGCTTATCGTAGGGCATGCTTTCGTTTGCGCATATTTTATCATCAAATAGTATGGAAACAGATGTTTGCGTTTGATGTAAAATGATAGATTTTCTTGTTTCTTTTGGTCTGCTTGTTTTATGCAAATTATTGTTCGTTAAAATTCGTTTCAAATCATTATGAATTTCCCGGCGAGGTCTTTGTTGAATACGAGAACCAATATGATTTTTAAAAAATTAAATTTACAAAAATATCTAGCTAGGGAAAAGTCAGCAGCTGGGGTTTGAATTAAACTTACTAGATTTCTATGGGAAAGTTAAACAACTGGAGTTTGATATTGAAATGTATTGTTTTCTAGAGGAAAGGCAAAAACTTGAATTTTACTTTTATCTTTAAGATATNTGATACGTATTTACTATATTACTAAGGGAAAATCAACTATAGTGTTATGCTTAAATTGATAAGATTTTTTTAGGGAAAGTCAACAACTAGAGTTTTGTGCTTCTATTAACTTGTCATTTGGCGAGTGTTTCCTGTAGTACAGGTGCACGTGAAGTCACTTATTTATTTATTGTCCCTCTACTTTCTTTTGTTAACTTCAAAGCTATCATTTTGGTTGTTGTTGTTAAGATATTTAGTCTCCTGAGGGGTATAATAAAGATCATTCTTATAGCACTGCAAAGCCTCGTGATACAAAAACCAGAACGCGATATTATGTAAACTATCAGTAGAGCTATGAAGAGAGACATAATTTAAACAATAACCAGAGCTCTGGAACGGGATTTAATTTAAACAATCAATATAGCTCTGGAGAGGGATTTAATTTAAACAATCAATTTAGCTCTGGAGAGGGTTTTAATTCAAACTCAAACAAACAGAACAGCAAAACTAAGGAGCAAGACATCAAAACACCGATTCAATACAAAATACTGAGACCAGGTATGAAATACATCGTAATAAATCAACAAAAACATCCGATATAAACAACCAAAGTAAAAACACCTCTAAAATAGACACTTTGCTAGAAAGTACGTCGAGTTTTTGTTCGGAATATGCCGACCAACTGTTTTACATTTCCAATGTCATGTTGGTCGAAAATATAATAAAACGGTCTGCTGGGACACTATTTGGTGGGATTGTCAGAAAAAGCTATTACATTATTAAATAAAAATAAGCAGTGGTAAAAAGCAATTATCATAATGCACCTAACTGTAAAATGAATACTGCGGGTTGGCCGCCTGTACAATATGACGCTGTCCGGTAGGGATGACACTGTGTGCATGTCGGTACATTGGTTATAACCTTATCTATATCAACAGATGATATAGACAGTTGAGATGATAGCGTTTTACACATGTAACGAAACAGGAACTATAAAATAAATATAGTTTCAGTGATGTTATCAAGTA